TTATCTTAATCAATCTACACTATTTGAAATATCTTTGCTCAAAAATTTAGAAAAAGGGGACCACTTCTTTTCGAAAGATAGTTTTGCGCATTTTGATTTGGATAAAGCAATTTTTCTTTCTAAATCGAATTTAGCTTTTGCGTGCTTGAGAAAAGTTTGGAAAGTATAACATTCCTCACTTATAAAAGCATAAAACATGTTTTGCTTTGCAATCAAAATTAAATGATTTATCAAAATATTTTTTTTGATGTTGGTTAGATAACCATACATTATCAATGCTGTAGTGATTTCAAATTCAGCTGTAGGAGTAATTTCTAGCCACCATGCTTTAAATTTTTTCCAAAAAGATTGAGCTCTTTTACAAAAAATAAAGAAGTGCTTAGAAGTATGTTTTTCACGATMAGTACAAAACGGACAAATATCGTTTTCAGTGACGCCAATTTTAAATAAGTAGCTTTTTAAAGGGAGTATATTGTGAATAATTTTCAACTGAAACATCGAGAGTTTAATTTCCTTTGTTACAATGAAAGGGAGTGAATATACCGTACTTAGTTCGGAAGGGTTGACACCTTCCTGAAGAATCATAGGTTGATTTGTAGGCGGTAAAAAATCCCTGCACACAAAAATCTGTCTTATGGATTTTGCACTCATTTTGGATAAATCGCAATAAGTTTTTTCATATTCGAATTTGGAGGCCGTGTTTAGAAGCTTCTTAACTGCACCCACTACTCCCTGGTACGTGAGAAAATCAGTGTGAATGCCATATTTATTCTTGAAATCAGAAAAACTTAAAAATCTGTTTTCAGCATCTAAAAGATCCTCTGTGTCCTGATACCTTGGTTAAACCATGATTTATAAAACACTGATGAATCACCGACCTTAATTAATTTGTTGTTCCAAATACTTTTTTCTAGAATACTTTTCTTTGAGGAAGATTTTGAGTTGAAATCTTGAAGATATCTCAGAATATTCTCATAAAAGGGCGGTATACCGGTTATGTTTAGCATCTTTACATCAAAGTCGCACGTGAACAAGAAAAGTCCTCCATATCTAATAAGAGTTTCATGTGGTATTACTTTCCATTCCGCTTCTCTTCCATCTAATAACCGTTTGACCCAAGCAAGTTTGAGGGCTTTATCCATATGATTAAAAGATACCATATTCAACCCTCCCTCCTCTCTAGCGCCAATTATAGTTCTTTTCTTTATTTTGGCTGGTTTGTCTTTCCAAATGAAATTAAACGTGAYCTTATCTACTTCCGTAGCAAAGTTATTTGGGACCGGTAGAACGGACGCGTTATAAATAAGTTTTGACAACTCTAACTTTTTAACAATATTAATTCTACCATAAAGAGATAGATTACGTTTTTTCCAAACATAGAGGCAGCTCTTTAGTTTTTTTAATTTTTCAYAAAAATTTAATTGATTGCTTAACTCGTTGTTATACGTAAAATAAATACCGAGAGCTAGAATGGGTTCCGAGGTCCAATTCAACCCGAAGGGCTGAGACGTTTTGCCCTTATCCAAGCCGATCCACATCGCTTCGGTTTTATTGATATTTATTTCCAATCCTGAAATAGCTTTAAAGCTTTCTAATAGCTTCAGGAGATTTTGTATAGATTCTTCATTTTCCATAAAACATGTTGTATCGTCGGCGTATTGCGTAAGTTTAATTTCATTGCCCCTAATGTTGATGCCCTTAATTTCAGAGTTATTATTAATGGCATATGCTAATAACTCGACAGCAAGCACGAAAAGTGGGCCGGACAGGGGACAACCTTGTCGAACACCACGCTTTAAAGAGAAAAAATCTGAAGCATATCCGTTGTTTATTACGCAACTTGAGATGTCACTGTAAAACGTTTTAACCCAAGCGATTAATTGCGGACCAAAATTAAATTTTTTAAGAGCATTAAACATATAATCCCATTCTAAAGAGTCAAAGGCTTTTTTAAAGTCAACGAAAACGACTGCTCCAGGAATGTTTAGCTTTAAAGTGTACTGCAGGATATCCGAGATTAATCGAATATTTTCTCCAATGTATCGCGATTTAACATATCCAGTTTGATTAGGGTTTATTATGGAAGGCAATACCTTTTCTATTCTGTTAGCTATCGCTTTTGTAGCTATTTTGTAATCAGTATTTAATAAAGAAATAGGGCGCCAATTTTCTAGAAAAAGCGGGTTTTTCTTTTTCTTCGGAATTAAGTTGATGATACCTTGCTTTTGACTAATACTCATTTCGCCTTTCTGTAAACTATAGTTGAAGCTATCAAACATAATTTCACCCAACTCCTGCCAAAAAAAGCGGTAAAATTCTGCAGATAAGCCATCCGTTCCGGGAGTTTTGTTTTTTCGAAAATTTTAACAGTGCATTAAAACATTCCTTTTTGGTCAGACGACCTTCACACGCACGTGTCTGATTTTCATTGAGCGTTTTTAGGTTGGAGGGTGAAAGAAATTCATTATTTAAAGATTCGTCGAAACATGATACGTACGATTGATAAAGTTTTTCGTAAAACCGCCTTTGTTCCAAAAGAATTTCTTCCGGACTTTCGGTAATCTTTTCATCTGAAATGTGTAATTTTGTAATATGCTTTCTAGAAGCATTTCTTTTCTCTAAACCATAAAAATACTTGTTATTTTTTTCGCCCTGTTCGTACCAGCGAACTTTACTTCTGACAATTGATCCTTGGGTTTTTTGATCCAGGAGAGCTTTTAATTTCATTTTGGTATCGTTTATATCTGCAATCGTCTCCGCCCTTTTTTCCTCTGATTTCGTTGCTGATAGAGTGTTCGTAAGCTCATCTATCTTCTCGAAATAATTTTTTTCCTGGCATTTTTTAGCTTTTGCTTTCCTAATTGAATAGCTTAACGAAAAGGCTCTGATCTCCATTTTAATCAAATCCCAAAACAGGCATTTATCCTCTAAATCTTTGTATTTATTCTTCCAGATTGGAATATTCTTGCGTAGGTTCTCGATATATATTTCATCGATTAAGAGCGAGTTATYAAATTTCCAGAAACCTGGTCCTCTTTTATTTTTAAAATGTTCGGTTTTAAGTTCAATGAAAACTGCGCAATGGTCACATTCCGGAGCGTACGATATGTAACTATTGTGTGTATATTGTTTAAGATGCTTCGATACCAAGAAGTAATCAAGCCTACACTGAATTTTTGCTGATTTATCTCTCCACGTAAATTGTTTCTTGCTAGCATTCAAATCTCTCCAAATGTCCGTCAGTTGAGCGTGATCTATTAACGTGTGGATGCTTTCTATAGCAGCTTGTTTTTGTATAACCGGTAGACCGCCTTCTTTATCTAGTGATGTTAATGCACAATTGAAATCACCGCCAATTATAATACTTTCACCAAAATATCTTTCTATTTGATCATGTAATTCACCAAAGAACTGCTTTTGCTTACTTAAGTTGTTGGGACTATATATATTTGCGATAATGGTTGAATTTTCTTCAATTTCAGTTTCTAAGATTATAAATTTACCGTTTTCATCTTCGATATTGTTTTTAACAACGATAACACAAGAAGGATGAAAAAGAATCATTGTTCCTCTACTATGTTTTGTTCCATGACTGAAATAAACACGACCTCCCCATTCGTTTCTCCAAATTTGTTCTTCATTCTTAGAGCTATAAGTTTCCTGAAGGAGAACTAATTGGACATTTTGTTTGCGCAACCAAGCAAAAATGTTCTTCCTTTTTATTGTATTACCTAGTCCCCTGACGTTTAAAGAAATGCATTTTACCTGAAAGGGATTTAAATTCGCTTTAGAGCTCATGTTTTTGGAAATGCAAATTTTGAGCAAAGTTCAAGCTTAAGTTAAACAATTTGTGATCTGAACAAATTAATTTTTTTGAGCATCTTTTCGCAGAAAAACAGTGCAAATTATTAATAAGCACAAGATTACTAGGACAAAAAGAAAAACGGCAAAAGAAAATCGAAAGGAAAATACTAATAAACATCAAAATGCTTAAATAAGACAYGGTTCTAAGACCAAAAATATTTGATTGAAATGATTGAAATGATTGAAATGGCTTCATGTATGGAATCGTTCGAAAACAAAAGATCTTTTCCAAATGGACGCAAACAATAACACCAAGCTTATCTAAGCACCTCATTTTGAAGTCTAAAAACGAAAATCTAAAATCTTTTGAATTTTCTCTTTCTTGTTTACATTTTTTTNCTTGGCAAAGTAATCATAAGTTGATTTTGTGTCGATATTTAACCAGAACAAAGGAATACCAGAACAAAAAAGTCAATATTGCATGTACTGTTATTTACCTCATAAGTTTGTTTTCTGTTGCGACAAAAAATGATTTATATTTAGGGAAGCAAGATGTCACTGTTTTCAACACATATCTCAAATTTGATGACACGATCTCATGACTTAAAGCCGCTTGAAAACCCCATTTCAAAAATAAACTTTGAAGTTTTGAAATATTGATGAGTTTACGTGGGATTTGTACTACTTTGTACTAACGTACTTTGTACTAACGACTTTGCTTATTGTCTTCGTTTAACACTCATGGTTTTGTAAAGAGCGTAGAATAAAAATTGCAATTAAACGCGTCCCAAAACTAGAATTCTGTTAGGACTAAAATTCTGCGCGTGTCAGCTAGAAAATAAATTCTGTCGTGATAGCATATTTAGAAGCGCTTCCAAGCTAGTAGGTACACCGGAACTTTCCCAAAAAATCGTTCTCTTCTGAGTAGCCTATAACCTTTAAGGAAAGATTTCGGGATCTTTTTGATTATAAATATAAAGACTTCCTTATCTTGGGCAGTGAAAAGTAGCTCTCAAAACTTCACAACAATGGCATAACCTTGGAAATATTTCGACCTGGTTTTTTAAACACTTCAATGCATACCATATGCTTTGAGCCTAGCAACCAATAAAGCATGTCCCCCGTTATCTTTCATATTAATAACGGAAATTATTTTCGAGATGAAAATTTTTTTTTGCTATCGTATTTGAAACGAAAGTCAAGATTGATTTAAGGAACCGATTGCTTCTCGAAGTACAAAAGATTGAAATAATATATTTTGCTTACCCAATAGAACAATCAGGGAGGAAAGAATATGTCGGGCTGCTTGTCAGCTTGTTAGTTACTGGATTTAAGAGAGAGAAATCATATTATTTACTTTATATAACAAGCAAAGATAAATATAATCACTCCAAAAAGTATCCGTCTACAGGACTCGTAATTACATCAGAGCTTAAATATATTGAATCAGGACTTTAAATATAAGAGTTTGTTTGTTGGACTTACTTTTTACAGGTTTTGGTTTTGCCCCAAGGTACGCAAGATTCACATTTGCTTGCCTACCATCAATGATTGGGTGTTTATTCTTACAAGCCARCTTCGCGGCGTCCGAAGTTACCATCGTAACCTAACGTAAAGAAGAAAAAAATATGTTGACGATTAGGGAAATGTACTGCGGAGGACGGAATTTGTTTGTTTTCAGCATTGAATAATATAGTTTTTACAAGTTTACTCACAAATCCGTATCCCTTAGATCGTTTTGTTATCCTATCTCTAATGACGACCGCCTCATCGATTTCCCCGAACTGTGTGAAGAAATTTCGCAAGGCATCGTCGTCAGATTCGTACGGTATTCCACCCACGAAGAGTTTCGTGTACTTTGTATCCTTGTTCTTAATCATCTCGCTATAGCTTCCCTCCGAAGTTCGCTGTCCTATCCTCTGTGTAGCCTTGTGTTTTAGCGCTTTGAAACCGGTCTCTCCGTAACTTGAGTAGTCTTGGAAGTCTTAAATTGCGTCTTTAGAAGAGGTGAAGGGTTTTCTTTGTGTCCTCGTAAGGGGTCGCAAGAGAATGCAAAACTGACGGCTCACATATACTTGACAGTAATTTACACGTGTGCAAAGTAGCTGTCGACAGACTTTTCTTTGCTCTTCTGCTACGCTGAAGTTACCGGATTATAACTCCTCCAATGGTAACTCCGGACTGCTCTTAACCGCGAATTCCTCAGGGACTCACTTCACCCTGTAACGAGGAGTTAATTAACAGGCCTAAATCTTTTATGACAGTTCTATAAAGTTTTAAGATCAATCAGGCTTTCACGTTCGATGGGATATATTTTCCCGTACTTTACTATTTGTTTGTTTTGGTGTTGTGTGCTGAGTTTTTAGGATTCCTAGGTAGGGTAAAATTGATTAGAGCCATGGATCAACTAAGCTCTCAATGTTATGCAAATGAGAGAGTTTATTAAATTCATACATTACATTACAAAGCTCCAAACTGACTCAATACCTCAAGATAAATATATATAACAAATAAWTCAGCCTGGTAGTGAAATATTAGTACATTTCCTTACAAACCAGCACTTTTTTTCACTCAACCTCCCGTGAAAATCCACCATAAGTGACGCACACTTTATATTATTGGCCCAAAACTATAAGACGTACTTAAAAAACCTATGGCTTTGTAGAGATTTGAAATTTGATCCCTCTATCGGTCAAAGCTGTCCTTTACCACAGAAAAGTCTAAACTTTTGTAAACAAAGATTTTTAAAAAACAAACATTTTTTTTATTGGCTTGGATGAGGGGTAGTCTCCCTCGCATCCGTTTTTAGTGTCGGTCATCACGCAACGCTCCCTCCCCACAAACGGCTGCTTGCATTCGAACTACATTCCTTTCTCATTGTTTGGCCAATCACAAGACGGGTTACATATTTAGAGAACCGTTCGCGGACTTTTGATCTGACCAATCACCGTGCAGCTTTTATTTCGCATTCTCAACTCGTTCATAGAAGAAGTGTACATGCATGTACATACATGCAAGTGTACAAGCAGCCGTTTGTGGGGAGGGAGCGTTGCGTGACGACCGACACTAAAAACGGATGCGAGGGAGACTAGATGAGGGGGGACGTCATTCGTACGATCATTTTAGGCCTCCGCGCCCTCATTTTCTCTYTTGACGAGCATTTGTTTGGCTATCGGATTAAAAACTTTGTGTTTATTCAGAGTTCATTAATAATAATTGCTAAAAACACTCAAGTTGTTTCCAACACTTCGTCCATATCTAGTTAAGAGTCCTTATATTCGCTCAAATATCTCGACAATTAAGGTCCTAATTAGGAAAACACAATTTTTTCTTCTTTGGAAGTAGTGTTTACCTTTTCGGAGTGCATTTAAATATTGACTTAGAACTCTTGTTTACTATGCACAGAAAGTTTTTGTTTTATTGTCAAAAGTTTATTTAATTAGAGAGAGACTTTGAAAACTACGGCTATGCTTCATTTCAAGGGATTTTCAAAGTGATCGAGAGAAGAAAAATATTTTAAAAACGGATTGAAGTTGAAAGAATCTTTTCAGTGGAAAGAATCAAAGGTTTTAGTGCTTGTAATGAGCTTTTACCAAAGGTACATTTTAATCAATCAGAAAAAACGATTACTATAGCTATAAAGAGCATGCGAAATTTTGTAAAATGGTGAAGTCTGAAGTCAATAAGTTCAAATCTCGCAAAGATTTGAATTTTGAAAAGTGTGAATATTTGCTSTAGGCTGCAACGAATGTTTCCATACCAAATTTCGATTTTTGAAAACTGATATTTTTGCGAGTTTTGAACTGATTTCCTTCAAACGTCATTCTACTATTCAACTATTTATTCTGTTCTGTGAGTTTTGGAAACCTTTGGTTGAATTACATAATAAAAAATAAAGCTCATTGAAGGTTACTTTTTTGCATAAGCTGGGGACTTATTTCAAGAGCAGAGTTGATGGCCCTCAATTAGCAATCGACCTAAAGACATGCATCTTGAATCTATCGAGTGAAAACATTTGGGTAACAGGTTTTTGAGGTTTTTGATTGACAGCTGTCATTCTTGAACTATCATTAACATGTCCACCAATTATTTCCATTTACTGTGTTACTACCATTCAAAAGACAATAAATTGGTTTACGTATCGGGGCCATAAGTGCATCACGGTTATGGCTTTGGAAGATTTTGATATTCAATGCTGTAAGGCTACCATTATTATTGATTACAATACATGATTATCACTATCATTTAAGGTCAACTCAATTCAAAACTCTCTCAATTMATAAAAATTAGAATTATTTACAAAATTCTTCGTTTATCTGAACGTCTAAGGACTTTTTTATCTTCTTGTAAGAAGTCTTTCCTTAGCGTTAAAAGATTCAAGAAGTTCCACTTAAAAGCAAACATTACTCCTTCGGTTATCAGTCTTGATGCGACACTTCAACGGACGTTGCTCTTTGGTTCTTTCCTTTTCATATCTGATAGAAAAGAACTAAGGAAGTTTAGATAGATATCCAGACTTAAAAACGGAAAGAAATACGGCCATTTTTCACGCATTTTGTTAGAAGGGAATAAACGTGTGGTTCACCTAACCTAAGAAAATTAATGATAAAAAGGTAAAATTTACACCGTGAAAAGATGAAAAAACTTACTGACGTTTCGGACGCTAGTCCTTCGTCGGAGTAAAAGAGGAAAAGTAAACTAAGTAAACTAAGTAAAAGTAAACTAAGCCCAGTGAGAAACCCTACCTGATTTGATTCGCCCGGTGTTTTAACTTTTATTTTAGCAACCTTAAAAACAATTTCTTAAAGAAAAAGCGAGTATGAATCGAGTTGAAGTTAAGCACAGTTCGAAGGATGATGCGAAATTTCTACTGGCATTGATTGGTTGCGTATAACATACGAAGCGCTTGAGGCAAAACCGTTCGACGAGTTGTCAAGTGGGTGCTTTCTTGACAGATAATTAGGAGGAAATGGCTTTCTTTTCACACAAACGCGTTTCCTAGCAACAAACTACAAAATCTCTCCATGCACACTCTACATGAAGAATATTTTAAAGCTTTTAACTAACATATAACTATACTATTAGGGTAAACTTTTCCATATGTTACCAGACATTAATTATTCCTCTGATGCGGTCCATACTACAGCTAAAGCACACTTGATGATTTACATTGAGTATTCTTTTATAAAGAAGTGATTACTACGAACTAACCTTGTATTATTCCAAACGAACTTGTGAACGAGCGAACTGCCAAATACGTGAAATTCGCTGCCGATCAATCAGGCTGCCATCCGTCTTAACCGGTAGCGTCGACACTTTTTCGCCTATGAAGACCACAAATTATCATTTTATACCAACAATGATTCGAGTAGAGGAGTAAGGTTCCCTGCTATTACGTGAAACTATGCAATGAATTTTGATCACTGTTTAATGTAATATTTATCTTTGTTCTTTTTGGGTTTAAAGGTCGTACCAACACTCTATCTTGCATGTTGGAGTCCACTGACATGAATTCGAAGGAATTGATTTTTGTACTGAAAATATTGGCATTGACCACTAAATATTTAAACCGAGTTTTATGCGCCATGAATTTCATTGATAWTGAATCCGTAAGTCATCTAAAACTATTTTTTCTGTATGGTTTGATTTGTATATTTTGGTTTTGTTTTGTGAACTAGCTTTGTATATTCAAAGTCGTTACTAGTGTGGTTTGGTCAAAGTCGTATACGTTTTAGGTCTCTTCAATATCACCCTATGAATTATTTCAGATACAAAAGACTTTAAAAAACAATATATAATGTTTTGTTTAGCCATCTTTAGCGGGTCTAAGTTGAGTTGCTCCCGTAGCAAGATCATTTAGYACATGAGTATAGTCGCGTATGTTTCTGCAATTTGCTTAATGACTTTTGCAGTTCAGATTAAGAGGGAAAAACACTATCAGTTACGATTGCTGGGATGATACTTCAATTAACGTCTATTTTATTGATCTTTATGCGAAAGATCGGCATCTTTCCAAGGAGCATTGATTTAAACATTGTGTATCTACTAATGGAAACTTCACAAGCACTCAAAAATGAACGAGCAACTACGTCCCTTTGAACATGGAGCTACAAGACTTCATTCTCATCAGAGTTAATAGAGGRGAACTATATTAACTCTGTTCTCATTAAGCGTACAGTTAAAGCTATGCTAATTCAGCTTTTTTTAGGTGTGCAAAGAACAAAAGAAAGTTTATGCCAGGATTTTAGTGAGTGTAAGGAGTTATTTATCATTTTTGATAAAATTGTTTTGGCTAACCATTGTTTTCCTGGGCAAAGAAACAAACGACTCGTCCCATGCAGGAAGACTTGTCCCAATCCTTCCCATAGACAACCTCTACCACTGAAATTAAGGAACATACTGCTTTGCAATTACTGATTTATAATTATTCAGCTCTCGTATCTTTTCACTAAATTTCACTAAATCAGTGCAACATTAGATTTTACGAGTTTGTAGTAAATTCATTTTCCAAAATTATACACATAACTTTTTCTCTCGAGCTAAGCAGGTTCTTTAAAACCGTTGATCCTCAGACAAGCGAATTCTTTATTTGTTTGTAATTAAATTAGATGTAACTAAAGCGCAATATGAGAAAGCACTGTACATAAGTTTTAACATAACTGGCTTCAATGTCAGGGTTTTTTTTTTTTAAAAGAAAGCTAGGACGAAGCCAAGCCGGGAAGGAATGTGAACTAAGCAAGCGTCATGTTATTTTGTCGCTTTTGTCCGACCTCAAATTCGGCCTACAGAATTTTTGGGTTGAGGATGCCCATCTTGTATGTTTGTTTGTGTTGCGTTGCCAAGCACCCTTCCTTCCTGTTCACGTCGTCACACGCAAAAGATTTTAGCTGATTTGGTCTATACTATTAAAAACATGAAAATATAGTTATAATTTMTTTCGTTATAATATTCTTCGTTGGTTCTTTCGTCCGTTCCTTCGTTTACTCCTTCCTTCGTTCCTTTGTTCGTTCCTTCCTTTCTTCGTTACTTCCCTCGTTCATTCGTTTCATAGATGTTCGTTTCTTGCTTGCTTGCTTTGTTTATAGCGAGTTCTTTCATTACTTGATTCTTCATTCGCTTTTTTCTTTTCATTCCTTCCTTGATTATATCCTACCTTAATTCCTTCGTTTCTTCCTCGCTTACTTAGTTATTTCCTATCTCCTACTCGCCCTCAAACTGACTTTCTATTTTTGCATTTCTATTAAACAACCGCTTCTATTGTCGCTTGTATGCACTAACGAACTTTTCAATCTTGTACTGATTTATTCATTAAGCTAACGACATTACTTGAATAGTCCCTTACAATTCAACCCATTTTCCTGAGCACAGACCATTAAACTTYGTCTTTTATTTACCGACTATAGATTGGCAAACACAAGTTTAATTGCACAACCGAACAAACGTTRTTGACATATACTCGTTTGTCGCACGCTAGAGGGCAATGCTATTCAGTTCTAAGATCTTTGCTTATTCATAATCAATATCTTATAGTACTTTCAGACCTTTTCACAATAACTTGTCTAATCCCTGTGTCTAGAAATGAGTTTGCCTAATGGTCGTGGGTCGTGGGTCGTGGGTCGTGGGTCGTGGGTCGTGGGTCGTGGGTACGAAGTCGTGGGTCGTGGGTCGTGGGTACGAAGTCGTGGGTCGTGGGTATGAAGTCGTGGGTCGTGGGTATGAAGTCGTGGGTTACAATTTTTTTTCCAAATTTATCAYTTATAAATTTAAATTTATCACTATACTTCCAAAACAAGATCGTGTGGCTTTGTTCCTATAAATTCGGTGTAATTGTGGGTTGTGCAAGGTAGTCTGTGTCTGATTTGCGTGACAGTGTTATAAAAATACACCAAAATTGGTGGCCTGGAGAACCTTTTAG